GTCCTTAGAGGACTCAAACAACTTTCATGCCAAAAGAGTTTCTTCCTACTAGCCAGTGAGTTCATAAATCTTTTGCTGACCTAAAGAAGCATTTTTATAATTGTTTGTTATGTGAAGGCAAAGATTTTCTGGTTTATTTCTTTTCCCTTTTGATCTTGAATCTTTCCAGCAGACTTGAGAGTCTTCATAGAGTTTTCCCATGTGTCAAATGCTGAAAAGTGTGTATAAAGTAGTATTTAACACCTTTCACAGATGCTATTGTTCATGTCCTGAAGTACTAAGTGGAATGCAGCACGTAGCTTGATGGACATTGTCTTTGCCCACAAAGATTCTTTTGTTAATCATGTTGTCTTTGAAACTTGTTTTTATTGATAGGAATTTTTTTAAATCCTGTGGCCATCTCTCAAGAAGTTAAACAAGAAGTACTGGGATCTGCAGGATTTGCGTTATTTACTGTTCATGCAGCCTGACCTTCCCACTGTCAGTGAAGTGAACAAGATGGGTATCTGTTATCAAAAACTTTCAACAGATCATCACACTGGACAGGAGAGCGCACTCTTGATATCATTACTGTTGTTTCTAACCATTTGGCATTTTTGCCTGCCATATATGTCCACAAACCTCTTGTTCATATGGAAACCTTTGTATACTGTTGTAGTGTGATCTCTACTAGAATGCTGACAAGCTGGTAATAGTCAGTCAGGTGCTGTTTATAAACTTCCAGACTTTATTGTGCATAGCACATGTGCCTCAGGCACTGGCTGAGGATCTTCCCTTTTAAAGGAGAGCTGCTTAGTTTTGTTGGTGGCAACGTCTTGCCCTTCATCAGGGATTCTGGTCTGATGCCTCTCCCTTTGCAAAGTCTCTCACCAGTCTTTGAGCAGAGCAGTTGTATCCAACTGCTCGTTTGCCTTCAGCTTCACCACACGAGCCTACAGACGAAGCTGGTGTCTGATTTAGGGAAAAACTTTTGAGTTTGTCACAGTATAACAAAAAGCAAGCATTTTAAGGTCATGCCAAGGTGCAAATCATGTTCTTTTACTTTATGCAGGTGAATGATTGGTCTGTCAAATTACTGTGTACAGCGGTTTAGTTCTCCAGGAGTTGGATGCCTTTGCAAATGGACAGAGCTGTTTCAAATAGCCTTAGAGACACTTTTTAGCCCTGGAAGGTTCCATGAACACTTTGACTTTATAAGAAATGCCGATAGGAATAGCTTCCCCTTCATAAGAAATTTTTAGTGCTTCTCAATAAGTACTAGCCTCTCTGCTTCAGGCTGCTGTGGAAGCTCCTCTGTACATTTTTTTTGTCTTGCTTTTCAGCCCAGCCAGCTGCAAACAGTGAGTAGCTACAGGAACATTCTTGGTCGCTTTTACTTTTCCTCGCCAAGGTAATTTTTTTCTTGAGCCCATTGCACCATATGATTGACAGCTTGAAGATGCTGCCTGCATTCACAGAAATTCCAGTGTCAATTTGTGGTCCATCATGTGGACTACCAGTGTGTGTCAAATAATGGTTACAGGCAGGTAGTCTTTGTGAAGTTCTTTGGGTGAAGTGGCATGGAATAATCTAGTGCTCTGCCTGCTGGCATGCTCTAGACTTAGTGCCTGGTGCTTGTGCAAGGTGATTTTGCAGGTGTTTTGGCTGCTGAATGCCATGCAACTCTTTCCTGCTGTTCTGTGAGGACGCTGTTCAGTCGCCCACAGGGGGACCTCTTGCTTTGTTCCAGATATATTCTCTGTATTCCAGCCGCTGCCGCCCTGGTATTTCAGGGTGTTTGAGAGAGGATCTCAAGATACATCTTCATTCTTACTTTCTGGAGTAACTGGATACCATAGTCCTTATGTTACACTCTAGTAGAGGCACAGCTCTGACAAACACTGATCACTCATAATGGTGTAATTATGTATGTTGAAGAGACACGCACATCTAGAGGGATATGCATTCATATTCAGTACCACAGTTGTTGCAGTGTGACTTTGCTGTTTGCATCTAAAACCTTCTAGATCTTTCAAGCTAAAAAATGCATGATGTGGTTTCAACTGTTTCTGGTTAGTGTTGTTTTGGGAGGAAAAATACTGAGGGTGGAAGTAATGTGCATGATAGATGCAGCCCACATGTATGTGAATATCAAATATTCTTATCCATTTTAATAATGTGATCTTTGTTCGGAATAGGTGCCATTTATTTAATGTCAACACAATTCAGAAGGTTTTGGCCTTGTTTAAGTTTCCACTTACAGTGAAGTAATACGACTTTAAATGGCTCTTGCATACCCTCTGGATTTTGGAGGGATTTTGGTTGAAGCTTTCTGAGGTGCATCCATTCTGTGACAGCATAGATGCTTTTGTGGGGAGCAATGTGGAATGCTGGTGTACCAGTTTCTCCCCCTCAAATATGAGGGTAGTTCCTTAAGGTCAAAGGATTCATTTGGGGTGGGAATCTGCTAATACAGTGATGCGAGCACCTAAATAGGAGAGTCTACTGTTTGAGCTCTTAAAAAGCTATATCTTTTTTTACTGACAGAAGAAACGTGAAAATAACAAATGAGAGAATGTGATATTTCGTAACTAGAATTTTCTTTTCAGTAACTTCAATAAAAATAATTCGTTTGCTAAATTCTTGACTACTCTAGATATTTCATTATCTTTTGAATCAAAGAATCTGCAAGAGGCCTTCATCTAAAAGGCTTTTGTACAAAAATTTAGAAGTAAAACACACCTGTCTTTATTGCAAGATCTTGCAAAACACGTAGTTCAGTGCTGCTGATACAGAATCATTTGTTTGAAAAACAAGTAGATATCACCAACTGAATCTGTGAGTAACAATTCTTTCAACAAGCATATTTTTCAAAATCCCTGCAAAGCTTTTTCTCTGAGTTTTATGAGCATGAGATGTAGAAAATCGAACCAAATACTTTAGGCAGAACAGAACTGGAAAACCCTGCCTTGTACCACAGTAGTTTACTGCCAGTGACAAAGAAACTCTACCCTTCCCGATGAATGATTTAATATGAATTGTTTTCACGTGCTCCAGCAGACAGCTGGCAACGGTTCTGCACTAAGATCCTGATTCCTTCAGGCTGCACCATTTCAGTACACAGGGAATGTCTGCTGGGCCAGTGTGTGCCACCCTCATAACTAAATGTGTCTCCAGTACATTGACGCACATGTTGACTTGCTCACCACCATGAACTGTGATTCCCACTCTAGGTGGGAAGAGAAGAATGGTAGGACTGAAGGCATCAGGACATTCCTCCAGCTTCAATCCCTTCTGCCAGGACTGGCTTGTTTTGCCCTAACAGCACAGCTGATCCCACAGGAGCCATTCATTTGAGCCAGGAAAGAGGCCCTTCCTCCGTGGGGAGATGTGTGTAGTAGCTGCATGCTGAAGAAAGCTGACCTGCTCATGGAGGGGGCCTCTGGAAATTGGGTCCAGTCCCTGCAGTTACCAAAGTGTAGGCTATGGTAGATAAACAGTAGGAAAAGGAATTGCACTTGAGCAAAGCCAGATTGACTGGGGTTGAATGATGTTTGCTCTTTGCTTAAAATGGCAGTGCCAAGTACTAAGTACGGAAAAATTAAAGAAATATATTGTAGGTCTTATGGTGAACCCATCCTTCAGTGTGTACCTACGTGATGCAATTTGTCTGCATAACATCATTTTCTCAGCGTTTAACTGCCTGCTCGTTTCCATCTTCCTTCTCTTCAAAAATGCTTGACAACAAAATACCTTTAGTGCCTGTCCATATGGATGTGCTCTTGAGTATGCTGCTGTTACTGTATGGCTCTGGAGAGGCTGCCGTAGCTAATCTAGGTGACCCTGTGTGCTCTTTGGGGATTTAGTTTCTGTGCTTAGACTTGACAAAAATTAAACTGTGCAAGTTTGTGGAATGTTGTCTTCTGCATTAAAGGGCTATTTAATTCCAGTGCTTGTTTGTTGTTTCAGCATTCTCTGATTTGAAAAAAAATCATAATATATTGCTTGCAAGCCTTGCAAAATGAGACTGGAAAAGTTGTTTTAAATTCTTTTTAAAAAAATCTAAAAAGTAAGCAGGTCACAGAAATTTTGGACCCGACGCTGTTTTTTCTAACATAGAATAAAATAAAATAATTGGCACTCCTTCAAAACATGATTCTGTTTAGAGGCTTTTTTATATATTAGAAGCAAAACATGATATAATACAACCTCTATAGTCAGTACTGTTTGGTTATAAGATAATTGTTTGGAGACTGAAAAGCCTGCTTTTCCTTGCTAATGTAATAGATTTGTTTTAGGTGTTATAGCTGTTTGTTACACGTTTTCAATGTTTTGCTTTATTAGAGTTTGAAATCTTAATGCGCTTATTAAAAAAAAAAACCACAAAAAGGTGCTCAGTTATACATGCTACATCATCATCTTCCATTGCCCTTTCTATCTTTTATTGTACCTCTAGATATACCAGACAAAAGATAAAGTCTAAAATTTAGAAAAGACCGCTTCATAGTGAATTTTTTCTTCAGGAAATTTTTTCTTTGGTAATTCCTTAAAGGAGCTAAGGCTGGAGGTTGCTTTGTTTTAAGTCAGAAATTAGGCTAACAGTGTGAGTGGGAAATACTACAAGTGTCAGTGTACACAGAGCATGCTACTTTACGCAGAAGATGAAAATACACGTAACCGGGGAACTATGAAGTAGGTTTAGCTGAAAACTAATCTTACACTGGAAAGTAATTTGTCATGTGTGGCAATTAATTTCTGTTATGTGTTTTTTTGTGTAGAAAATTGATCCCCAAACTGTAAGTTTTAATTCATTCAGATGTCTTGGATTGACACAGTTCTGTCTGTGATCAGCAAGCTGCTAGATCCTTACAGCTGAAATACTGCAAATTCTATTTGCAGGTACAAATGCCTTTTAAAAAAACCCAATCTTTCCTAAAATTTTATTTTGAATGGGGCCATTATATCGTCACCCTGTGCTAATAAGCATTAAGTGTCTTTTATTTTTCATCATTCCTTTACAGAACAAAAGAGATGAACATCTTTTGAAAAAAAGAAATGTTCCCCAAGAAGAAAGTTTAGAAGATTCTGATGTTGATGCTGACTTCAAAGCAGTAAGTTCCTTGATTCTGGAATTACTTTTAAGACTTTGATGGTGTCTCAAAACAATGTGTTCTGTTTTTATTTTAACACTGAAAATCTTGCATTTATTGAAAGCAAAACTATGAACTGATAGACTTTGTTTGTATTAAATGTTTAAAAAGAATACAATTTAGCAACAAAATTACTAAAACTTTTTTTTTCTTTTCAAGCAAAATGTAACACTAGAAGCTATACTGCAGGTATGTTACATTTAACCATTTTTTTTAATTAGAAGTGTGTGTTCTGTGCATTTTTAGTTTTTACTGGTTTTGTTACTTTTCAGAACGCCACAAGTGACAACCCAGTGATCCAACTGAGTGCTGTCCAAGCTGCAAGGTAAAAACAAGTAAAGGCACAGAAATATATTTCCTGTACATTTTTTCATTATGACAGTTACTTACTTTACTTTCACATTTACTTTCACAGAAAACTCCTATCCAGTGACAGAAATCCACCTATTGATGACTTAATAAAATCAGGAATTTTGCCAATTCTGGTAAAATGCCTAGAAAGGGATGATAAGTAAGTATACTTATGAAATGTTCACCTTTACTGAAAATCTGCATCCCAAAAAAGGGTCATTATTTCAAATGAAACTGAGGATTCATAGCACCATATAATCTGACATAGTGGATCACATTCTATGATGATAAACCATAAATTCTCCAGGAGTATTTATTCTGCCACTGAAGCGGCATTTTATTTTTTAGAGCTTGCATGAGCATATCCAGCTAATGGAGAAAACCTTACTAAATTTCTCATTGGTTTGGAATATTCCAGACTTTTTTGTTAACTGTTTTTAAGAAACCTGTCTCAGACTTACTGTGTATATTTGTGTGAAGGCAGAAAACATGCCTGGTTGTGAACAGGGCTCTTTTCTTTGCCAGAATACATTTGTCATCTTTTTCATTAAGGTTATTAGCTTAAGTTTCTAGCTGCTTTTGTTCTTACTGCAAGGTGGGTTTCCTTCTGGCTCTGTGCTGCTCCCTCATGTGATGGTAGAACACAGTGAGCATGCTCTCTGTTATGATTATTTGTTGGAAAACAAGAGCTTCAGAAAAGGAGGTAGAGAACATTGAGCATCTAGTTGCAAGAATTTAATGACATGTAAGAAGAACGCCATATTCCACAATCTGTGAGCCCCTTATTCATTTGATGGGGATTAACACATTTGAGGTAAATGTTTTAGCCTATCTTTGGTCTCACACAGCCACAAATGTGTTTACAGTATTTCCATTTTCAAGGTTATTTCTGCAGCCATGAGGGCTAGAAACTTCAAAAATGCAAATTGGCAATTTGGGTGTAATTTGGTGGTTGCAAAAACATGAAGCGTGTGTAGCTTTGTTTCTAGCTTGTTTAACAAAACAGTTGCTTAGAAGGCAGCTGGCAATAATGTTCACATCAGGACAGCATTTTAAAATGGGTCATGTATGCCTGTCTGTTCTTGAAGTAGAGGGTTCAGTGCTGTGAAAATTCTTTTAATTTGAATTTTCTGTCTAGTCTTTGTATGATTTACCTTTGTAAGTGATTAATAAGCCTTTTGAAATTGAACTCAACATTTTCTTAAGCAGTCCTTTTAATTGTGATTGCTGTATAATATTTAGTAGAGATGAATTCTGCAAAAATGTTGTATAACAGATTGTTAAAGCTGTTGTTCATGTTATAACTGAAAGCTTCTCACAAGAGGAAGAAAAGGAGGACTGACCTAGGACTAGAATTTTAATGCATTTGATCCTAGAATGTAAAGGTTTATAGATAGCTGCTCACAGGTACTATTTGTTCTTACAAGTCCTTATTTACACATCTTGGGCCCTCCTATCTGATTCTTTTCCAATCCCATCCCCAATAAAACCTTAAAATGCTTTGAAAGCTAACGCACAAAGCTTAAAGGTGCTATGGCTGTATATAAAACATAATTGATAAAGACTCAAAAAAGCATGGAAATTAAAAATAGTCACCTAACAATAACTATTCTCTGCTCATCCCAAAGCCAGACACGTTACTGTTGTGCTAACCACCATAAGCTGTAAACTTTTATAGCTTTTAGAACTCTAACCTTCAGAATTTGGTTGAACAATAGTTTTGATGTAAGCTGTTTTACTAAACTGCTGTTGGCATAGACAACAGTTAACAGACAGCTTGGAAGAGGTGTTCCCCCAGCTTTCATAATATTTGTAACTAATTTTATGTGCATTTAATATGTCAGTTTTAATAGAGGTATGATGCTGTCTTTTGATACTAATGCTAGATCTTACCTCTGTCTGTGATGGAGCAGAAAAATGTCCTTATCCCAGCATATCAGCTTACACTTGATCTGGGATGTTAGAAGGGACAAGTTTTTATTAGTTATGGTCAGACATGGTTAATTTATTGAGAACTACTAATTGCAGCAAGGCAGTTGCATGTTCTTCACGAAATATGAGTGGTGTTTGGATCAGCTGGATGTGAAGAGCTCTCTTACCCATTAGAGAGGCATAATTAAATTTTATGATGAGGGGTGCTAGAAATCTTTCATACAGGAGATAATTAGTTGTCTAGAGTAGCAGTCAGCTTCACTGGTTGGTATGTGCTTCAACAAGTATTACTGCTTTTATTTTTTTATTTTTTACTATTAATGTGAAGTCAGAATGATGGGTGGTTGTTTACAAAGATCATAGAATGTAAAATCTTTTTTTTCTAATAACTTTTCCTCTGAAATGTCCAGGTTTAGAGTTTTTTTTAAAAAAACTGCTAGCCCAGTGGCACTGCTTAAATGTAGTGTCTCAGAGTGGATACAGCTAGTAATGCTGAAATGAAGCATAAAATAATTTGCAGATCATGTTTCAATTTATTACTATAAAATTATTTCATTACAGTCCATCATTACAATTTGAAGCTGCATGGGCGTTGACTAACATAGCATCAGGCACTTCTGCACAGACTCAAGCTGTTGTACAGTCTAGTAAGTATTACAATTCGTTTTTGCGGGGTGGTGGATGTTGTGGGTAAAAGGGAAAAGGGGGTATTTGGATAACAAATGCCATTTGTTACTGAAACCATTAAAATAATACATTCATGTCTGTCGTTTTTCTCAAAAAAATTCTACATTTGCTCTTCAACTTGAATCTGTTTGTCACTAATGGTTAGTATTAGGGATCCCAGACCTGATTTTCCTGTAAAGAAGATAGAGAATGACGAATGATATAATGAATATGACAAAAAATGTTAGCCCTTTCTAATTATTGGGTTAATTTCTGAAATCATTAAATCACTGTTAATTCCCATATGGCTAAAACTTGTGTTAGGAAGTAATTCTTTCTACCTCAAAGGTATGTTCATAAATCTTACTAAAGCTATTAAATACATATAGTTATGTAAGGTTGTCCATTTAAACACAGAGTTAAGGAAATGACTGTCCTTTCTTTCACCATATGATTACTATCTCCTATACGTACCATGTTTGTTGTGCTGCCTTTGTTTCTTGCTTGACCAGCCAGTAAAAATTCCATTATGAAAAGAGAAAAAAAGAGATAGGAAATAAACTCTGAAGTTAATTGAAGATAAATTATTAAAATCAAATTTTCAGAATTATATAAATAGTTTTTTATGCATCAGCATACTTATTTCAAAACAATCACCTTTATGCTAAATACAACATTTTGTCATTAAACAGGCAACTATAGGCAAGCAATTATATAATAAATTGTCTTGGCTTATTCATATTCAGTGTTTTTATGTGGGAAATTGGTGACTTAATTGTTTGATTTCTTTTTTTTAAGTATATGAACCTGTCTTTCACATCAAATGCTGATTTGTACATTTTAATAGCTAATAAAATATCTCATTAATTGTTAGATTCCACATAGATAAGATATTGGACTAATAGAATAAGAATGCTTATCAAAGTAAGCTTTGGGTAAAAAACCAAAGCGTTTTAAAAAAAAAACAGATGTCTTGAATTTGTTTCAAAAAATCCTGACGTGGTTTGGGCACCTCTGTTTTTATATTGTTTTTCTGGTGTCTAAATATCTTAGAAAATCTATTTGCAGTTTTTTTCATCCTTCCCAACTTGTTCATTGGTTAGTCACTCTATTCTTCCTTTTTCAAGTCCCACAGCATTTTCATATTTGAATGAATGAATCTAATGAAAAGGCTGTTTATAGTATTAGCTTTGCAGAAAACGGTCTGGAAAAAATCTTGCAGTAAAAATTAAAATCAGAATGAAAATATGTACAGCACAGCCAAAAGCACTGTTGTTAACCTGAACAATTAGTAGAAGTTCAGGCTGGCATATGTCTCTCCCAAAATCTGTTTAGCTAGTGCTAGAAAAGAGGAAAATATGATAAAATTACTTTAGAGAAACAAAAAGCATTTTCCAAGCTTTACTTCTGAAGAGAAGATGGAAGAAGTTTAGTCTAAAAGTCTTGCTGCTTTGGCTGGGAGATGACTAAGGGAAAACAGCCTCCTAACTTTACTCCCCTTAGGTAAGGGATGGTTTGAGGAAACAAAGTGATAGCTATGCCCCTGCAGCTATAGAAGAGGCTGGTGCAGCCTAAATACAGAAGAAGGCGGCCTCCTGCAATCAAGAGGGACAGATGGCAGTTGGAAGGCCCAGCAAAAGAGGAGAAGTACTGTACACACAGAATAGATCTTGTCAGGAGCCAATTTGGAGCAGAAGTAATTAATTTTTTGAGAGCAGTGGATCAGATAACCTGCAACTTCATGCTTTGTCTGTGTCTCTGTCCTCCTGCCTGAGTGCTGATATGAAATAATTTCATTTGTGCTTTTGAAAGCATACCAGGATTGCAATCTAATATAAACCACATACTTGACCCTCCTCTCTGAAATATGTTGAATAGATGTATGGCTGAAGTGTAATCTCAGTAATCACTGAGAAGGAAGCTAGAATATTCCACTTGAGCTGATGGAAGTGGGATGATTGTTACAAGAACAGAGAGAGTGTTCTTAAGCAATGGTGTGTTGCTGTCCCTCCTAACTTGTCAGTTGCAGGCAATTGCTGAATTACTCATCTAGGGCAGGGAAGGAATTTTAGGTTGTCATTACTCTTCATCACTCTGTATTTTTCAGGAAAATACATCGGGGTTTTGGCTTATCACATGTTAAATTATCAACAGAATATTGATTCACAGTTGCTCACAAATCATGTTGCAATTTTTTAAAATTTCTGAAGCTATTTCTGAAGCTGTTTCTAAAAGAAAAAATATTCTTTCCTTCAACAGTGTATAGATTGATCTATTTTACTTTGCTCGGAAAGACTATAGGATGAGTATACAGATTTTAAAAATTGCTGCAAGAATTACTGTCTTTCAAACAGTATGTGTTGTCCAAAGGGAAGTAGTGCATGGGAATAGGAGGGGGATGGTTTCTTAGTTCTACTAAATTTATTTAATTCAGCAGAGACTGATATCTAAAATCAGTACCGCTTCCTTAATCTGGTATGTTGTCTGTGTTATATAAGAGCAAATTAAAAAGTGTCTTAGGATTGGCAGATGGATGTAAGTCTTCACTGCATATGGAAACTAACTATAGCCTTGGAAAGAAGCTATTTTCTTAAAAGTCGAGGTTTGAAGCACGTTTGCATGATTAGGCTTGTCATTCTGCTAGGTACGTGTTGTGATCTCAGATAACTGGAAAATATGAATTACCAGGGCATTAAACCTAGCACCTACATACTTGAGGCTCTTGCATATCACTTTGAGGAATATGGGGAAGTGTTTAAATGTGGGGACCATTGTTGTTTAATAGTTGCTTGTTCTCAAGTCTTGTTTTTTCCTCTCTCTAGATCTGTACAGAAATGTTTAACTGAGGTTTTGTATGCTCTTCATAATAAAACCAGGTGTCTTAGTATAAGTCAGTGAAAGTGTTTTGTATTAATCAATGAGAATATTGTGCATATACCACGTTCCAGTAAAAACAAATCCGGTCTTTGCATTCTGTAGATGCAGTACCCCTCTTCTTGAGACTACTTCATTCACCACACCAGAATGTTTGTGAGCAAGCTGTCTGGGCTCTCGGAAATATTATCGGTAACTCTTGTTGTTGTTACAATTATTTGAATTCAGGGAGTGTTTAATTTTAGACTTTGACTTTTTGAACATTGGCATTATCATATGAGACTATGTTTCCTCTAAATTCTGTGGCTTAATATAATTTTTCACGTGGCCAGAATTACATGTGTACATCCTGTTTTTTTCTAAAGAATAGTATCACTTGCTGCATAAAATGTTAACAGGATAAATTTTTGTGTCTCAAAATATACATACATATCTGTACGTATGTATATTTAATTGAACACGAACTGCTAGTAGTAGACTACTGGTGAGGAAACATAGAATTTCAGTATCCCAACATGTCATTGCATACATTTCAGGATTTTCCATTCTTAATGTAATTTCTTTTACAACAATTTTCATTTCTGTAGGTGATGGTCCTCAGTGTAGAGATTATGTCATATCACTGGGAGTTGTCAAACCTCTTCTGTCCTTCATCAATCCCTCCATTCCCATCACCTTCCTTCGGAACGTCACATGGGTCATTGTAAATCTCTGCAGGAATAAGGACCCCCCACCGCCTATGGAGACAGTTCAGGAGGTAAATAAAGAATTACGAGACAGATAATTTTTTATACTCTGGGCTAGAGGCCAAATGTTTTACATTTTCATACTATGAATTTATGCATGTTTTTTGCCACTGTCTTGTGCCACTTACCAGTTGTTAAATGAAGTAATTTGACCCATTTGATACTTCTTACTAAGGCTTTCATAAAGGTATTTGTAACATCTGAAACTGAGTAAGATTGAAGACTGATGAGCCATATATTAAAATGGACACAACAAAGAATTAACACACTAGAAAGTGTTAACATACTCAGCATTTCATGTTTTTATCAAAAAAAGGCTGTGAATGTGATTATGTATATAGAAGTACTCAAATGTAATTATTTCCAGTAAGAGGAAATGTAAGTAAACTAGTGAAGGGAGTATAGTTTGTGTTTGGACTAGCTGTGAACATGCAGTCAATGTCAAGTCCCCACTTTAGAAGAGAAGCATCTGAAAATCCCTTTGAAGTGGTGAACAGAGCCAACGCAGTGTTTATAGAGTTGGCACAGCTAGTAAGTGATGCTCTTTGACTAAAAGTGTAGTTGTAATGTACGTAAAGTTCTTCATTTTAAGATAAATTCCAAAGTGTAGATATAGTTTTTGAAGCCATGTGAAGTATAATGTTGTTAGCAACTAAACTTTAACGAAATTTTAAAAATGAACCAGAGAACAGGGAAACTTTTACAAGTAATACTTTACCAAACAAAAACCCCTGTTCTAAGCAGTCTTGTTTTGGCTTAGTTTTATATTTTCTCCATGAGTGAATAAAAAAAAAAAAAAAAGAAATTTTACTTTAATCCAAGAGGGGTTTATATATTGATATTAGGCTAATGATTTTTATTATACTGTGTGGTAACAAAACTTTCAAAATAGCAGGGGCATGTCTTATCTCTGTTCTTTGCTTGTTTTCCCTCAAAATATAGTCTGCTGTCTGTGTGTCTTTGGAATATACTACTGTCTTGTATTTTTACAAATTTTAAATGTAATATATATATTTTTATACATACTTTGAGGGAATAACCAGCTGCTGGGAAATCTGTGAATGCAGTATGTTAATGCAGTCTCAAGTTAAGCTTTGTGACTGCAGTACTTGGATTCATGATTGTACAGCCAATTTTATTCTACTGTAATGACCAATGAACTTCTTTTCAGATTTTGCCAGCATTGTGTGTTCTCATTTACCATACAGATATAAACGTAAGTAATTTCTAAAGTTTTTAGATATTTAGATTCTTTGTTTTCTCTCTTAGAGAGACAATGCTGCAAGATTGTTTGTGGCAAACTTGGTTTTGTGTGTTAATTTATGTATAATTAAGTAGTAAATGCACAATTAAAAATTAAGACTAATATAATTGTAGTCATTCAGAGCATGAAAAAGTGCAAACATCTCTGAAATATCTTCTGTAAAAGTTCTTTTTATCCTTTACATTAGAAACTACATTAAAAAAATCCTGTCTTGCAAAATTGAGCACTAGAAACTTAAAGTGCCAGCTTTACCATCAGCTTCACTTTAATTTTTTTATAGATGATATATAATGCATGTGTAGAAAAATATATATAATTCTACATATCGGTCCAATCAAATATTGTGATCATATGGGTAAATCTGACTTTTGTAACCTGTTGGGTGCCTGACTTTGCCACCTATTTAACTAAGGAAATCACATATATACTTAAATGAACAGCAATAAACTATTATTTTGTGGCACCTTTGACAACTTTTCTTCAGGTTTTTAATACTAAACCTTCAGTACTTCCCACATTCCTGATCTATGGGTTTACATATATTTTCTGAGTAAAGTCCTAGAGGGGTGGACTTACCTCCTGAAGTATTACACTGGGACTTCAGGAACAAAGTTCTGTGTAACTAAGGGGTACTGAGCTGCTCTTCTCTTCCTCCTCTTGTCAGGACTTTTTAATGTCTTTGACTCTTGTTCCCTGTAGATCCTTCAGTTTAGGGAATGTCATGGTTTAGCCCCAGCCAGCAACTAAGTACCACACAGCCTCTCGCTCACTTCCCCCTCCCCCGGTGGGACGGGGGAGAG